GTAGAAGAGACACGCAACACTGAAGGATGACACATTCGGCAGTGTTTGTATTATAAGTACGCATAACTTGGATCATGCAATTTCATGGGAATGATTTGAATTCATGCAAAATTCGCCAGAGGTGAGAAGAGGAAGTAAATGGTACTATGAACTGATTGATATTTCATGTTCAAATGGAGATAACTGAACTTCCTGTGGAATTATCACTTATATTGGGCCTCAATGCTTAGTAAACTTCTGGAATGATATGTTTTGGAGGAATCCAAACTTTTTAAAGCTCTGTCTTCACTTCTATGACAAAAACTACTTCACTGTAGAAATTGCTGAGCTTTGTCGAAAGTAAGCTCACTTATGATGCTTGCAGACTATACACGATCTCACAACCTGTCACCACGGGCACTATCAAGCTACAGCGGTAGCGCGGTACCTCATTCCTTATCTTCAGCAGTGTATCAGGGAACTTATTCGGCATCTGTTAGTGCCTCACCAGCTGCACAGTTTCTCAATGCTCCAACTAGTGAGGCCTTTTATTTCCGAATTATTTCACGCTAATAGCAAGCTAGATGAAATAGGCATACCTGGCAAATATTTCTTCGCCTATTCATTTGGTGAAAGAAAGATCTCACCAACCACTGAGTAATTATCAGCGGGATCTGCTTACTTTCAATTAACGCTTCTTTCAATGACTATCCATTTATAGCAGAAAAGCGAGTTTTCTAATTAACTTAGTGAAATATTAAGTGTATGATTTTCCTTTATCATCCTATCTTTGTTTGAAATCAATAATGCTTTGATATGGTTACTTAATTTTGTTATATGTTATCATTTGGGAAAACAGGTGCTACATTCATTAGTTGAAACAATCCCCCACTAAGGTTCTGTAGCAGTAGCTTTCTAGTTTGATTGAAATATGAAATTTACAGGTTTTGCACCATTTGGAGCAGTGAACCCATTTGCAGCAGCATCATTTCAAACAACAGCAAGACTCACTTGATTGATCTAACCTGTGAAGTTAGTTACCTTAAATGGAGTATTTATTTTACATTAATCTTTTTATTTATTGTAATGAATCAAGTGCAAATCTGAACACTTCAACAAATATTGTCTCTTAATTCAAATAAGTTTTTGTAACAACTACTTCTTGTTTGAATTTGTCGAAGGAAAAATGAAGATGTTGAAGATCGAGTAAATCGCTGGCCGATCGTATCATATTTTTTATCTTGAAAATACAAATAAATTATTGTAGGAGTGCGTCTTTCGAACTTATTTGCAATGTAGGGTTACACGTAACTTAATTCTATATTAAAAGTTGAAAGCGCTCAACTATCAAATTAAATTCAGTTGATAACAACATATGGCAGAAGTGATATTGACACAAGAGTATGAAGACATGTGAGGCTTTAGGCCTAAAATATACCGAACATGCAACTGAGCAACTGAAACAATGGGACAAAGGTAAACGTAGAAATTTATCAGATGAGATCAGATTATGCCCGATGTTCTTCGTTTCAGAGCTGAATCTTGACAGATATCTCACGGAGTAAAATCCTTAGTTTGTTTTTTCTACATCCTTAACTTTGTAAATATAATTTGGAAAGTTGATGAAGATTTTGGAAAAAGTGGTGCACTTGATGCTGAACTTCACTGCTACACCACCTAAAGAAAATCTTTTCTTCATAGTCATTTTTGAGAATCATATTTGACGTCTTTTCATTACACGTCTCTGCCACTTCAATACGTTACACTGGAATAGATATTACATTTAATTAAGAATGTTGAAACTGAGTTGTTTATCTACAATTTGTTCTTCTACCCTTTTGTGTTCGCCTCTTGTTTCAATTTGCCCTTGAGAGAAATAACGGCATTGAGATATGAACCACCAGCTTTGTGAATATTACTTGTGAAGGATTTTTAAAGTGATGCATCTCAATCAATCCTTCTGTTCAAATAGAAAACTGCAATGAAACCAGCAAAAAGATTATCTGCTTGTGACCGACTTCTTATCATAGATATCGTTCATCCCAAGCAAAACTGTTGCTGAGGATTGTTTTTAATAACCAAATTTTCGTTCATTGCTTTGATTGAGCAAAATTAAGGAAGCTAATAATGGTAGCAAATGATCAAATTTCGATTTCCTGCACATAAACTTAGGACCGAAGAAGTTGCAATATTCAGTGAGCTTAGTGGATTTAATGTGGTGAAAACGGAGAGGAAGTCATGAAATAAAGTCAGGATTTTGGTATGGGTCAATTCTGTCTTAACTAATGTTTGCTTTAAGTCAGAACTGACTCTGAGAAAACAACAATGCGATGATCTAATGATTGCTATAGTGCATTAGTCCACTGAGGAAGATTAACTGAAGAGGTGAAAATAATGGAAGAGATGTAGGTCAAGAATTATCGTCCTACGATGAAGAATTTCAGTACTGGAAGAAAAGGCACACGGAGTAATCGAAGTCATCACGTCAATGTAACCTGATTTAATAGATTTCAATTCTTTTCGCTTTAACTTTGTTCCATTGTCTCAGTTGCATATTCAGCATATTTAAGCCCAGATATTCTTGGTCAAGCTTCGCATCACTTCTGCCATACGCTGTATCGAAGTGAATCTAATTTGACAATCGACGCTTCCAACATTGAATGAAATAATGCTTGTAGGGATCATAAACAGCGGCTATAGACAAAAGAGTAGTTAAAAAGAAGAGAATATAGTTTAATTTAAGTTTACTGTCAAAATGTGAAATAATTCTTGACAATATCAATTTATTGCTTGCATACGCAAAATTATTGTGTAATGGATGAAAAATTTAGATCGATTTTTATGATTACCTATTTTCTACTTGTCATTTTAAAACTTTTCCCCAAGACTTTTATATGAATTCTACTTTCCTTGAAAGTATATACTTTTCTCAACTCTTGTCCATATTATTTCCGTAATTTATTTGAGATTAATGGGAGGAGAGTTTATTAAGCTTTGATAAAAATTATGGAAATGATATTCTTATAAAATAATTGAAGAAAGCATCAGTGAAATCGTATAAAAGTCTAATTTCCGTATCTGCAAATCTCGGTTCCGTCACTGGTTGACTGTTCGTCTTTTCAGCGAAGCGGGTGTTAAAAGACCTTTGCTTTTGTGGTTCTGTAGCGCAATTAGAAGTAAAGGTTTTCACTGAATAATAACAATATGTACGTTCTGTTTTGTAAATGCACCAGAATGTTATTATATATCCTTATTGTTACAGCAGTTTACTTAAATTGTATTTTCTTGTATTATTATTATTAATAAATATTTTACAAACAGTAAACAGTATCACGACTGATAAGTTTAACACTAATGGACTGCTCCACTGCATTCAAGATATCGGTGAATTCATTAAGAGAGACTTGTGGAGAGCAGATAATGACGAATATATCTGGAAATGGAATGAGCATGACTGAGAGTATGCATATATCCGTATTCAGTTCACTTTTTCTGCATGTCAACTTCTCAAACGGTTTTCTTGGCTTAGGTTCAGAAAATCACACTCACACTTCGGAGTACAGCAATGTAACCTTTAAGAAGAGGTTGATGAAGAAAAAATGAAGCTATGAAAGAAATGAAAAAGAAAATGATGAATGATGTGCAAATGGTAATACAACAAATTTGGTGATTGTCTTTCCGGTCTTCAATCCATCTGTTTCTTCTTACTTTTGATTGGCCGTCGGAATGTGTTTGCAAGCTCTTGATGTCTTGATGATTTGTGGTGTCCTCGAGCAACAGCAGCTCCAACTTCTGCTCATCTAATCTGTTACTAACAGGATCCTTACGATCAGTGCTCCATAACAATGAATATTCCCCCTCTAGCATTATTTTTTCACCCAATTAAAATTTTGATTAGTTGTTAAATTAGAATGAAAATATTAAACAGTCTCGTGAATGCTCCTTTGAGTAGCAAAACCAGTTTATACTTCTTCCCAGTTCCCAGTACATCTCTCTGTTTATCATTTCTTTTACTCAAGACTGATGTGATGTCCCATTGCTACCGCCTGTCTTTTACTGCGCGGTTACCCTTCTCAAGATCTTTCGCTTCCTTAATAACCATTCCTTCCTCTAATGTTCTTTTCCCCGCTTTCTTTTTCCTTTCGAAGTTTTCTAATCTCTTTTGCTCCTTTCCCTTGTATCTCATTTATTGCTTTACATCTGTCGAATATTAGTAATTTTAAGAATTCCAAGGCATTCCATTTCATCTCTCAAAGCATCGTCATATGGTAACGAGTGATGGTCATCAAAAATTGCAAATGCCTTAATATTTATGCATTCATTCTCTCTCTCTCTCTCTCTCTCTCTCTCTCTCTCTCTCTCTCTCTCTCTCTCTCTCTCTAAATTTCAAAATATAAGATGAATTTGCTGCAGTGGTAACGGACGGATGCTGAACGATGATGTATTCCATCATTCTTACGGTTTAAAACACCTGAAAAAAGAATCTTACGGTTTGAAATACCTGAAAATGATAATCGAAGTGATGGAAAGCTTTCGCGACGGTATTGCGGCGACGACAATTTCTTTTCTCAAATGACACTAAAACCAGTTCCTTCAATGAACAACACCACAACTCTCGAGATTGCAAATTTGATTGCTTCTTGAACATTGCATATTTATACCCTGCCTGCATGCATTGTTTCCCACCAATCTTTTATAATTCCGCACATGTGCAATGCAATCCTTCCACTCATCATTGTGTTGCATCATTGAAGCAGAGAGCTGCATTTTGAAACGTAACGGAATAACTAAAACATTTTGTGTGAATTTCAAATCGTAGCAAACTTTATCTAGGATTAAATGATCATGTGCGATTTGTATGAAAGAACAGTTGGAAAGATGAGATTGCCGTTCAATGGCCACAACCTACTTGTTAATCTCTGAGCTTTATTGCAATTTATTTTTTAGTGATGAGTGCAAATGTCAGATGGAAGCGGTGCCAAGCTGTAACAATTTCTTAAACACAATTCGCTCACCGGGAAATGGAACAGAACATTAGTAGAAATGGTTGTGATAGTAATCGACAAGCAATGGTATTTTCGTAATTCTGGATTAATAATGAATTTCTATTCCGCATTCTTTAAAATATCTATTCGAATCAAAATCTTTAATATTTAAGACCTTTAAATGAAGCAGTTACTTGCACCATCATTTTGTCGTTGTTCACAACAATTAATATAATACTCGAGCAGACAAGAAAGCTATCTTTCAGAGTGCAAGTGAAGAGGAAACACTCAATAGTGACAACTCCTGGAAGCTACCTGTATCAGAAATTGCCAAAAGCACAGTAAATCCAATTCGACAAATTTGTGATTCCCTGTTCGTGGCATCCGGGACGAAAAAACCATTGCTTAAATTAAACCTTGGAGATCCGACTGTTTCTGGCGCATTACCTGTATGTTCCGCTGCGATCGAGGCTCTCAGTAAAGCACTAATTAGTCGTAAATACGAAGGTTATGGACCCGCCGTTGGTAGCTTACTATTATCATTATCATTCGTAATCAATTACCTGAATTTTGCTCTTCTAAGCTGGTACATAAATTGAAAGAAATAGAAAAACACTTTAGAAATTTCACAAATAATGCTTGAACAATTTTTGAGATTTATTTCTTTGAACAGTGGAAGTTGGCATTTCTTATTAAACCTTAGTTTGTTGCTATTAAAATCGAATCTTTGTTAAAGTTAGCTTTTTTTTTCTATTTTTAGGAATTCTGGAAACTCGGGAGGCAGTAGCTCGACACTTCACACGTCCTGAGGCACCAGTTACCGCGGATTCGGTTCTGTTAACCAGCGGTTGCTCGCATGCCATTGAAATGTCCATCGAGGCATTAGCAAATCCAGGCGATAATATACTTGTACCAGCACCTGGCTTTCCCTTATATTCAACTCTTACTAAATCTTCAAACGTCGAAGTGTGTTTGTTTGAAAGTTTTAAGATCAGGATATGAGAGGATTGTGAAATTAAATTCTCATTAAAGTAATAAATGAATATCATCATTTCATTCAAGATGTACACATTTCAGAGTCGTTACTATCATTTCGATATGTTGAATGGCTCCCGACTGGATCTTGCTCGACTGGAGTCTTTGATTGATGAAAGAACTCGTGCCATAATTGTCAATAACCCTCCTAATCCGTCCGGCATAGTTATCTGCAAAAGTCAGCTGGAATCGATATTACAAATAGCCTATGAAAAACGGATCCCTATAATTGCTGATGAAGTTTACGGGACGATGACCTATAATGGAGCTAAGTTTTATCCGATAGCAACCTTGAAACCGAAAGTGCCAGTACTGACTTGTGACGGTATTGCCAAACGGTATCTTCTACCGGGATGGCGACTTGGTTGGATCATTATTCACGATCGGTATGCCGCGTTGCAATCTATCCGAGACGGCTTGACAGCACTAGCTCAGAAAATCGTCGGTCCTTGCGTATTGATTCAAGGTGCACTACCACATATCTTGCAATCAACCAATGCCAGTTTTTTTCAGCAGGTGAACAATACTATTCAGCGCAATGCAAGCATTATATATGAGAGCTTGAGGGAAGTACCGGGCTTGCAACCCCTTATGCCTAATGGGACAATGTACATGATGGTGGCCATCGATGAGCAGATATATGGAGGAGACCAAGTTTTCGTTCATGACTTACTTGTGGAAGAAAATGTCATCTGCCTTCCAGGCTGCGTCTTTCATTGTCCTGGCTGGTTTCGTTTAGTACTTACCTTCAGCGAGCATGACATTCGTGAAGCTTGCACTCGCATTATACAATTTTGCTTACGGCGATATTCACACAGATTGGATGATAGAATGAGTACCTGATAGTTTCATTTATCATCTCATCTCACTCATGATCTCCACTCTTCAAGTTCACTATTGTTCTTCTGCACTTCTAATTACATACCAACACAACAATCAATTACTGTGTTCGCGTAGACAGGGTCCACCGATATGTTAAAGACAGCTTACCTTTTATTTTTTATTTCATATCTCCAGATATGTGCCTTCTCATACTTTCCAGAATGATCCCAATCAATGGTTGGCTTTTTGATGATTACAAGTGGAATGATTGCCATCTTTTTGCTTACTGCTCTACCACTTATCTTTTTCCTCATGGCATCTTAATTCTCAATGCTTGATTACACATTGGATTTTTGAAATAAAAGAAATTTTGTAATGTTTATTCGAGAATCACCTTTTAAAATAATGGTCTCTGGAAAGAAAGATTTGTTTGATGTATATATATTGGCTCGAAAGCAAAGAATAGCAAGCAGCAGCAGCATTATGAGTAGCTTTTCTGGGGATTATTGTGGATGAACCGGTAGAAATGGAAACAATTCTGCAACAGCTTATCCGCGATAAGTTCCTTTCTGTTCATGTTCATTCCATTGAAAGAGTAACATTGAAAGACTGTCCTGCCAAAACTAAAACTCTTTTATACCATTTACCCTATTTGGCTCAGTGTTGACATTGAGTCAATGACGACACTGTATCAGCAGAGCAGGTCATCTTCTTCATGTCGCCCTTCTATCGCTGCAATAAAATCGGCTTGTGACGAATTGATACAAGCGCACACGCCCCAGGAGCTTTGGTAAAAAGCATTATTTTTAATCAAAATTAATACTTATTTTTAAAAAGAATATTCCCATAACTTTTAAACTGACGAAGCCTAAGCTGAGATCATTTAGGCAGTTTGAGAAATGAATGTTTGAGAGAAGGACTGCAATGTAGAATAATCCTTTTTTAAAATCAATTCGCCTATTATAATAAAAATGACGAATCCAATACGGACCTTAGAAAATTGATCTCTTCTTAGATATCGCATGATAGCATGATATGAGAAATGTACCGTTGACTGTTCTCTTGGTGACAGTCTAGCACTAACAAGAGAAACGTGACGTGAGGTAACACGAAAGGAATTTCTGTGTGGGGTACGAATATTTCAATTGAAGAAAGTTGTGTTCTGTGATTAAATTTTGAAATATATTCTATAAAAGTCGATTTCAGAAGAAACAGTTGTCGATTGTATGGTGTATGGTGTAGGGTGACATCACAGATCAAGTCAAAGTAGTAGCTGAGGAAAAAAGTGGTCCATATAGCTTGCAAGTAGAACACATGTCAGTTAAATTGTAATATGTTCATTCTTAATTGGAAGGCACTTCTGTGCGTCACAAAATACATCTTTTCTTGACTTGAATTGATAGAAGGCTTAAGGAAATGTTGGCTGCATTTTTTCTGCCTCTCTTTTTGATTTTTTCGTTTTGAAAATTTGAAATTATTTTGCAAAGGTATAGTTGCAGTATGATATTGTCCAACTATACTACCGTCACTGAAACAAGATTCTGATGACCATCATTGCTTGAATGCGACGTACTGTTGCACGTCTAAGATGAAATGATTTAAAAAGTACCATGGGAGCAGCACATATGGATTCTAAGCTTAGTCATAGGCTGTTGGCTCCGACACAAACGAGGGCATATTTGTCTTTGACAGTGTGAAGTTTTCCCGATGATAATCGTTTGTCGCTCAACAAGTAACCACATTATCACAGCATTCGGTGCTGTGGAATCCATTGAACAGAACGTGAAATTACGTTCATATCAATATTTTGCTGCGATGGTGATGACGGCGATGGATTTCAGATGGAAGAAGTGTTTTTCAAGTGTTTCTTTGTGATGCTTACGCCTCCCGTTGGCTTCCTTGTTCTCTCTTGCAACTTCCTCCAACTCTTTGTCGCTTTTTATTTTCACGACCTTTCATTTCATATTTCAGACATGCAACGAACTGCCTTTTCTGCTGTTTAACTTTCTTAGATGCCATGTAACTAACTGTAAGCAGAAACATCAGGCTACTGATTGCTAAAAAGAAGATCGGTTTGTATAAGCGCAAAAGTACAAAAAGTTGTTTTGAGTTTTATTCTTAACACCCGATGGCTACTAAAACCAGGTCCGAGAAGGTCAAAAATCTTTTTCTTGTCTCACTCTCATAGGCTGAGGTTGAGTCACCTGTAAGTTGGAGGTGTGTTTTGCTCCGACTGCAGATGCTTTATTACAGTTAACATCTCTGAACGCCTTGATAGGCCAGAAAGGAAGAAAAGATTGGAAAAAAAAAGACTGATGACAAAAGGGTGTAGTGTATAGCGTATAAACAAATGTGCCGATGGCAATTTTGCTCTATGATCGTTTCGGGTTTCATCTCGCTAGCTCACGTGAAAGGCATCACATTATGGAGATTGAATTGATCTTTTTCTGTTACAATACTCCTCTTCGTTTTTCACATCACCCATTTAAATGCATTTCTGTATTACCGACTGAAGTGACCACCATTCACCAAAATCAATTCAAAGTAGGGAACAATAAATACGCCAAAAATCGAACTAGAAGTTACGTTCAAACCTTTAGGAAATTATCAACTCTGTGCGATCCATCAAATCATCCTTAACTGTGTGTTTCAGTCTTTCCTAATTTTTAATACTAATATCCTTTTATACTACTTATGGAGTTATAGATGGGCATGAGTTTTCGAAATGACATAAAGATGCCGATTCTGAAAAACATCAATAATTTGTTGATGAAAACAAAAGGACTCAGCAAAAAATTAATTAATTATAAGGAGTGACTGGATGAAATGTTGGTTTCAGGTTAGTATGTGAGTCTTACAGATCCAAACGGACAATTTCCGTCTTCTCACTCGCCCCCACTAGAATATGCATTCTTCTGCTCCTGTTTGTTTCAGCTGTTTGTGATCTAAAATAGTAGCTGTGAATGTTTGATCTGTCAACTGTTATTACTCTCTAATCCATTTTATGTCTCTCATGTAACTACGCGTTGACCTTAAGTAATCGAAGGTTAATTTGTCATATTTAGTCGTCTCCATCATTGCCATCAATTCATCAGTAGCATTTTAAGCTGAACAGTAAAACCGAAACAGTCATTTTGAAGTGAGAAAAGTTTGCTCTTTTTAATGTGTTTATTCAAGTACTTTAACAATAATGGACGCATTCGCAAAGTGCACATGTCACCAAGAACTTGCAGAGTAAAGTGAATTAAGAGGAAATTGCGTAAGACTTACTAATTAATTAATCAAAGGGGCTTGGTGCAATGTTTAGGTCACATCTAACTTTGAGATTATAAAATGGACTGAAATTTGCTACCGTTCGAGTAACTCAACTTAAATATCACGGGATTTGGAAAACACACACATACACACACACACACACACACACACACATACACCACACACACACATGCACACACACACACACACACACACACATCCTTTTTTTATTTGAAGCTAGAAATTTGAACTTCAGTTCTATTTGCCTAGACACTTTTGTGAAGACACAAAAGAGCTACGGGATAGACTTGGATACCTCAGGATTAACAGCTTGGTACCGTAAATTCTTTGCGACATATTGCATGCAGAGAGTCGATAATGATGAACGGTAGATCTTCTGAAGACAGCAGCCAGACAACCGCAATGAAAGGTTCCACTGATCGGTAGCATCAGTACTGAAAACATTGGACGAAATAGGTGAATTTGTATATTTGAATCTCTTACAGAAAGAGTACCTCGCTGTTGGTTGCTGTTGCCGCTACGAGTTGTGAAGGCCTCCTACAAAGAAGTCAGAAGTGCAGTACCTCACGACGCATATCATTGAAGTTGCTCAATTTGTCATCAATTCATTAGCAGGATGGTGATATAAGCTGCAGTAGCACATTCTCTCGGTACAGTTTTCAACACTGGAATGATTTATTCAGAAGGCCGCTGCGATTTCTAACGGTGAACAGCAATGAGTGACGTCACTTCCGTCAAAATTCATCTCCCTCCCTCTCTCTCTCTCTCTCTGCAATTTGCGGGAAGACAGACAGAGAGCATTGTGGATGCCGGAACCTCTCCATCTATTTAAGTTTTTGGTATAAATTCGAACATTTCAATCCTGTGTTCTTATTTTCATACACACAAGAATGTTAAGTGGAACAGAATAACAAGACAAAGTGTAAAGTGAAGGAAACAGTAATAGTAGCTGTCCAGAAAATCGAAAATCTTTTGAATCCTTTCTCTGCTCCCCCGCATTCCTCTTTCATTTCATTCTTTTGCTCTTTGATGACTGCGCTCTTCGGCAGGCTGCTTAATAATGTGTTGCCCGCACATCTCGAGAAAGGAAAGTACAATGTAACAAAAGTTTTCTTTCTTTGAGAGTTCTCGCTGAAATAAACCAAGGGAGGTGGTCAAAAAGGCAGAAGAAACAGCTAAGAATCATGAAAACCAACAATTTGCGGGCCGATCGGTCAATCGTTCAGTAGTCAATCAATAGATTATCAATTGATCAGCCATTAGTGATTCCTCCAGAAGGTTGGTGAATCAGTTAGCTAATCGTAAGAAATCAGGGGGTGGGGAAAAAGAACAGAAGGGAAAAAGGGACAATGAATTTGACTTGCTAAAGAAAGCAGGAAATAACTGACATTGGCTAACATGCATTTCACGTGCATTTCGGAAACCCGTTTAACTGCAATCCCCCGCCTCTTCTCTTCCCCGCCCTTTTCCAGTATTGTATACATCAATGTATACACAGCGACTGTTAATGACAGAGTTAGCTGCTGCACCGGTAAGAGCCTAACTGCCAGTCAGACATCTTCTACACTTTCTTACTCATTCCGTTACTGCAATTTGGGGTCGTTAGTGTTTTGTGTGTGGCAAACCAATTCCGCCGTTTCTCGATGATTACTCTGCTGTAACAATACATTTTTATAATTGTGCCACGACAGATAACCAATGCCTGAAGGTGTCCCGGCACTTTTCCGGATTTTCCATTTTCTCATTCATACTTTCAGTCTCTCTTATTCATCTTATCAAATGCAAAAACAGACTGTGGATGAAGTGCCGTCTCAATGCCTTCTCCTGGAACGGATGTCGGGAATGAGAGTGGGAATTTCAGTGGGATATCCCAAAAGCGTTATTCTCGAATTAGAAAAGTTTGATAGAGATGATGAAATTGCGAGAGCAGAGAAGGATGATGCCATTATGTATGTAAAGCAACTTGCGATTTCCTAATAAAAAAAGGGAAAAAAATTGGGAGAGAAATGGTAGTAATGTAGGCCAAGCTGAACAAATAACCTGGGATGCTATCCTGTGCTCCGCTCTACAAATTTATTCCTAATCTTTGAGCTCACATAAAAGGTGCCAAGTAAGATGTCTCTTCATCCTACCAAATTCTTGGTGTCACAATGACTAACTTCCCGTTTGTGTAAAGGGAGCAAAAAGCTACATGTGTGTGTGTGTGTGTGTTTTGATACAACATTTCATTTTTAGACATAATCATCAGGAGAGACACGGAAGACATGACATCCATCGATATTGTCACTTCCATTCCAAAGTTATCATCAGTGGTCGCTCGCAGTTTTTGTGAGTGAGTGGGTGCAATCTTTAATGTCTTGTTTGAGAACAACTATCGCACCACATTTCTGCTCTTCTCTCGTTTTTGCAATGTTCACTGATTTCATTTTCATATTCTAAAATTCGCTTAATGTAAGGGATCCTTCTTTGAGATGTCCTTGCATTTTCCAATTCCGCTTTTAAAATGAATTCAGTTGGTCCCCAAGTGCATGATTAACTTCGCTGACCGCAATTTTCTAGACTCTCTGAAATATCAACTATGCATGGCTGTCAACGTTATTTCTTGAGGAGTGACAGCTTTGATGAAGCACGCATATATCTTACAGATCGACTCCTCCAAATATGTCTTATATTGTATATTTCTATGCGTGTGTATGTACGGATTTCTTTCAACAAATAAAATGAAAATGGCAGTATTAGAGAGAAAATGAATCGGCTGTCACAAAGTTTCAGGTAATTGCTCCGATGTTGCACAGACCATTACACATAAAATATATTCAATGATAGGAAGATAACCGCTGCATTTATCAGAAAAACTGAGAAAGCATACAAAAGGCATCCAAATAACTTTTCCGTAAGATCGATAGTCGCGAATGAGAACAAAGTTAAGGCTAAGGTTCCAAGCTTTCTTGAATTTTAAACACCCATACAAAAAGAGCAATGGAGAAAATTTTGCAGAGCATTCTCATAATTCATTGGAAATCGGTATGATCCTTTCGAAGAGCGCAAAATTCCTATCTTTTCCAGATAAAGTGGTAAAAATTTGGATCGAGTATTTGATGTACACTTGTATTTGTACTCTATTACACACACACACACACACACACACACACACACACACACACACACACACACACACATCTATATATACATGTGTGGAAAGCGGAGAGATCTGCTTGAGTGTCTCATCTTTGCAAGTCGTCATCTTTATCTCATCGAGGTACCGTTCCCTCAGGGTGTAATAACAGTTATCAGGTGACATTACAATTAAAACGAGGAAGCAGCGTTTTTGCTGTAATTGCTATCACTGGAAATAGCAAGTTTAAGCGCACGTTGCTCCCTCTCTGTGCAAGTTTCATTTGGAAACTGTTAACTGTTGAAATAGTTCTGCGTGGAAGAAATGTTTTGCAATGTTTCCTCCAGTTAGTAACCCTCGCAAATAAGTGTACCACCTATTGGCTAACACGACGATTTTGTTAAATGTCACCAAATAGTCGTGCTCAAAGAGAGCCCGAGGTGAAGGATGAAGTACCTAAGTTTTCGCTGTTCAGTGAGTGGAGTGAAGAAGCTTAGAAGCATCAAAGACCCGTGGTAAGTAAGAAAGGATGAGATGTGCGTGCGCGCTGCAGAGGGGGTGAACTGAGTGGAACACTGACACACTCATTCCTTCCAGTTGGCACACGTCATTCATATTCACTCCCTTCATTATTAGCTTGAATCAATTCGAACCACTCACTCACTCCTTCCTTCACCATCCATCTCGGCGTCACTGCGGTTCACCTTTCAAAACAAATGTAGAGACCAGAGAAGGCTCGAGAAATGAAAAAGAGTGGCAACTATCTCACACACTTCACTTCAGTCTCTCTCACCTCACCTCACCTCACCTCACTATCTGTCCTTGCAGAAGCCAATGGTTTATAGTGGGCACACATTTTGCTCCACTCATGCCACTCTTCCTTCTTTTTTCGGCATTTTCAGTAAATTTTTGACGAAATTTAATTCCTCCACTTCACAAAACACCTAACTGTGTCACCTGGATCGCTTCACATGACACCCTCTGCTGAAGTTCAGTGTCATTTAATGGCCTTTTTGAAACATTCAGCACTGGTTTCTCTCTTCCACCACTGTCATTTACCACAACCACCTACCCATCCAGCCCCTTTGGTAGCTGCTAATAAGCCCCTGGTACACCAGCTCCCCATTCTGGTATCATTGCGCTCAGCATTATCACTTCAATCCGTTATCATTGTGCCCTCCCTCTCCTTATTACTATTACTATTTCTAAAACTGTCCACCAGAACAGTCACCTCAACGAACCACCTTCTCCCGCTATCCCCATGAATTCGTTTTCCCTGCAAAGAGCATTAAAGTGATTAGTGAAGGTGGTGATTGGAACCAGCAGTGGTTACTCAACTCCTACCACAACATCTTTGTACACACACAATACACACCGAGACAGACAGACAGACAGACACATATGTAGGGTCATCGTCCGGGTCCACCGAAATGTGAAAAGGCGTGTAAACCTCTGCGAGCATCAATGACTGAGTCAGTGAGCCAGCCGCAGGACTGCGATGCCTGTATAAGAACGACTTGCTTACATAGATCTTTGCCCGGCAGGTGTCAGGACTGGCGCAGTGCTCCTGGTCCTGGTGGCATTGCAGTTGCTATAGGAGGCACGAGTGAGCCTACCCTTAACCCCCTACCTACCTCACCCATACATACCTATGTGTGTCTCTCTCATCATTTCTCGCAACCGCCACCCTAATTGGGCAGTCGGGACCGCATTAAAAGCCAGCTGATTGACAGCTTCCAAACACAGTGCTCGTTCCCAGGATTCCTATCAGCACGGGAGCATTGGTTCAGTGTGTGGCAGGTGGCTCCGTGTGGTGCTCTCCATCACTCCTCCCAATGACGTCCCTCCCGTTGTAGATTGTGATAAGACACTAAAATGATATTATTGTGATTCATGCATGATCCATGATTGCTTCCCATCAATCATCCTCCTCCTTAATGGATCATACTGTTATCTGTTATAGCGTACTGCCTCGGGTGATTTCCTTTTATGGATCGCAGACATTCGCCTTTCTGTTTCTCACAACTTATATCTGCCGCGCAGTACATCGAGAAGGCACGGAATGTTCCGGATACCTGCCTCAGTATGTCTTATCCTTTTTTTCGCCATTATTTTCCGAGATAAGGAGATAAGATTATATAAGTCATGCTGAACCAGGAGACACTGTTACGATCTCGTCTCTTCGGTCAACTGGAGAACCGGATAGCAGTCAGAATTTCACTCCTATCTGCATAATGCATCCGGAATATGTCAGAGCATGTGTTCCGGGATGGTTATTTGCGGAACTAGCGGAAAGAAATGTATAGAAACAGTTCCATATTCGTATTTTCTTTTCCAGCTAGCGATGAAAGCAGCGGCGACTCATTCGTGACTAAAGGGGTATTAGGACAAAGTACGACATGTTCCATTGCGTCCACGTCATCGTTGGGATGTCTGTCGGATCGAAGCTCATCAATTCCATCACCACGACACTTTCAGACACCTCCACCGGAATATAGCAGGAGACATCGGCCATATCCTTCTGTAAGCAGTGCACGTCATAGCAGGTTAGTTTTAACGTAATGTTCAAAAGGAAATGCACTTACAGCATGCACATTTGCGCACCATAACCTGCATTCACATATAATGCTTCCTCCCTTAATATCATCACATTGCAAAATTGTGTACTTGAGAAAATAACGCTGTACCATCAATTGCATATTTGTTTGCATACCATAAAATATTTCTCCCTAAAAAGCATGCAGCTCCGTCGAGAATTTCATATGTAATTTGATAATTTGAAATGACCTGCGCCCACTCAACGTTTCACTTCTTCATTTCACGAAGGACCGACAATATCACGATAAGCCGAGACAAAGTGTGCTTTCCTTTGTTACACCAATTACAAAAATCTAAATCTGCAAAACAAAGTACACATGCAGTGAGCTACACACAACTTCACAAATGTTTTGGTCTGTCCTGTCCTCTCGTCTAATCCTTTCAGCTGTATTGCACGTGCCTCATTGCACGCATATTGCTACTGATAGCACGTGTGCAAACCGGTCCTCCTTTCCTTTCTTGCAAAACATTACACATTACATACATTTATTTACATACATACACACATATATCACATGTATGCGTACATACATGCATGGGCAGACATACACATGCATGTGTATGCATGCACACACACCCACATATATTCATACATATAATACATGTATCTGAATACAAAAACATGCAAGGAATCATCAAAAGAATTGTGATGCTATGCTGAATTCATTTACGATCTCTCAGAAGTTTTACTGTAGTACAATGCACTTTGAGAGATTTCTCCACTCCAGTTCCCGGAATAATTGCACATTATCTTTCACTTACTTCCGGGTTTTTTTTGCAGTTAATCCTTTGCTTGTTCAACACATCCTTATTTGGATTAATTTAATTTTAATCTTATTTGATTAAATTAATATTAATTTAGCACATCTATATGCAACGGCTTTTTTAAGGGTCATTAATCACATTCTAACGCAAATAAATTAAATATCAGGGACTGTATATTTAGTTACTTGGGAAGGTAGGAATTAGATAGCTGTGCTGCAAGACTTGCAAAAAAAAATAAGCTCATGGTGCATCAGTTATCCAAATAAATTTGACAGCTCTTCTCAGATTTCTTCATCGGTTTGTTCACCATTATCTGGGATGGAAGATCTGACGATAATCTGTCACTACCGCAGGATTTTTAGAACCTTCTAGACTATAGTGCATGGTGCTTGGATGATGATAATGATAATGATAAAATGATGAAATATAAAAATGATGATCGAGCATATGAGAGTGATTTTATGTAACGCTGTACAGAAATATTGATGATATGTTAGGTACCTGTAATGTTGAGTATATACAAATATTGCTCACTGCTCATCAGCTGTTTTAAATGAATTAGATTTGACGATTGGCGAAACTCTGATTAGACCTGTGGATAAACAATGTAAATGTGGCGTGCTAAATGATCATTCGAAAATATGTGTAAGATTATACGTCGATGGCAAGCAAGATAAATGCCATCGGGAATTGCTTTCATTCTCCTTGCGTATAGTTCATTCAGGGAAACAGCCGGTCTGTAAGAACTTCCGATTCTAGTTATCAAAAGTCATTCTTGCTTATGAGTTATTTTTTGTTTCTTTGACTAGAATTAGTTTTATGACACCTGAAAAAAAGAAATACTTTAATATTTCCTTCTGTCGAAAAATAGCTTGGTTTTTAATGAAACGGTTAATGATAATGATATGTTCAGGGCACTTGTTTGCATTTTTCATTGCAGAGCCGCTCACAATGAACTGGAAAAGACACGTCGTGCTAATCTTCGTGGATATTTGGATAACTTGAAGGATATCGTTCCTTCTAGTTCCGACAATGCTCGCAACACAACTCTCTCCTTACTAACTCGTGCTAGAGATTATATTTTGGTCAGTTCTTCATTCCCCTCTCATTGTTGTACGATTGTGGCAGACTGTTTAGATAAACAAATGAATTAGCCTATTTTTGCGGGATGGTTCGTCGCCGCAAACACTACTGCAAACCATCGCTTCACATATGTCCTATGCT